CAGAGAGGCTGATTACTATTTCCTACGTTCGTCATCCACCCCTTCGTGCTGTTTTTACACAACGAAACTTTTTTCAAGCATGATTCTGTTTGAAACATACAAAATTCTTTTTTATTTGCCATGATGGTTTCTGTAAATCTGACTTTTGTTTACAGAGGATTATACAAATCAGCTGGTCCTCGATTTTCATACACTTGCAGCTTTATCAGCCGTTATTATTATTATGTCCCTTGAGTTTCTAGTGGAACATAGGGCTTCAGTAGCACGTCGCCATTTCACTATCTTCTCTGAAGTCTTTTGAACCTGGCCCCACGACTGCCCAGAAACTCTCATTTCTTTCTCACACGATCTCCTTCATGTCGCCCTCGCCCCAGACGCCCAACTCATCGTTTCCCACTTGGGTTCCACTCGAGGGCCTGGCGCGTGATGTCCCCGAATGGTCTTCTCAGTGTATGTCCAATCCACTTCCTTCTGCATATTTGTTGGGTAATAAGTTCTTGGTTGGTTCATTCCCAGCCAGAGTTTCTTGTTGCTTATTCTTTCTGGCCATCTGGTCTTCAGTATCGAGTGTAGGCAGTTATTGATGAATATCTGTAGTTTGTTGGAAATGCTTTTCGTAACGCGCCAAGTCTCTGAACCACATATCAGCACTGACTTGACAGAATTAGTGTTGAAAATCCGGATCTTGTTGTTTATGCTGAGTGCAGTAGATCTCCACACTGGTTTCAGATTGATGAATGCCTCTCTTGCTTTTCCGATCCTGGCTTTGACGTCCTCATCTGTGACGCCTGCAGTTGAAACGATGCTGCCTAGGTGGGTGAAAGAGCCTACTTCCTTTTAGATTTCTCCCGTTGATGGAGATTGGAGCTTGCAGTTGTTGGTGGTTGGGTATCTTCATCACCTCTGTCTTCTCTACGTTCACTTGAAGTCCCGTCTTCACTGCCTCTTCTGCCAACTTGTTGGTTTTCGCCTGTAGATCTTCGAGTTTGTGTGACATTAGACATAAGTCATCGGCGAAATCCAAATCTACTAGGATCTTCTCACCGGTCAAACAGCGTATCCCCCTCTTCTCGCTCCTCACTGTTTGTTGCATCATCCAGTCCACCATAATCAGGAAGATCATCGGTGATAATAGACAGTCTTGTCTTACTCCTGTCCTCACTTCAAAGGCATCACTGAGCTCAGCTTTCCATTGTGAATCACCTGGCATGCGGCGTCTTCATATAGTTGTTGAATGAGGCTGATAAAGGTTTGTGGTATTCCGTAGTGTTGAAGCAGTTGCCAAATTACTTCTCGGTCGATGCTGTCAAAGGCCTTTTCAAAGTCGATGAAGTTGAGGTAGAGGGTGACTGCCATTCTATCCTCTGTTCTATGATGATGCGAAGCGCTTCAATTTGGTCCGCACATGATTTGTACTTCCTGAAGGCAGCCAGCCTGTTCCGGTCGTAGTTTTGAATCCAGCGCACCCTTCAGTCTCTCCAGGATGATGCGGCTTGATACTTTGCTTAGTGTGGACGGGAGTAGAGAATGATCCCGCGTCAGTTCTTGCAAAGACTTAGGTAGCTCCTCTTCGGGAGTTTGACAAGGTCGCCCTTCTTCCAATCTGCAGGTACCTTCCCTTCCTTCTAGACCTTCTGTAATAGTGGTGTGAGCATGTCCTCTAACCTCTAATTTGAACTGAGTCACTTGAGAATGTCTGACGCCACTGAGTTGCGAGATCTCTCGGACCCTACCCAGGAGTCGTGATGCACCAACAGATACGAACCCGATACAACTATCTTTCATCCAATGGCACCACATCATACACTGATCACCCCTCCGTTTCTTCCGTTCAGTCTCAGGGTTAGCAAAGAATGAACAGTATGGAAGCCGTTGGAATAACGCGACATACGTTGAAGCAACATAAGGCGGTACTTCGAGATGACTGCACTTATTGAATGATGATCTCCATCATGCCCAAATACATGGTATCGTACTTCAGAATTACTTACACGGCGTTGCTTCCGGATAAGAGCAATCCTACGAAGACAACGATGACCAAACATACAGAGTCGTCGTACATCCTTAACTCGAAAAGGCCAGGTTTCACAGGTGTAGAATATAACTGCTCGCACCGAAGCGATGTAAACTCGGCCCTGCGCCATCAGGCTAAGGTTGCAACCGCACCAAAGGTGGCCTAGATTTACGTATGCCACTCTGGCTTTCGATGTGTGGTTAGAACTTTCATCACTCACATGACTACTCAGATATACGAAGTTTTCGACTACTTCCAATGACTTACCACACGGGGTGAGCGCAGACATAGGGTCCTGCCAATCTTGCAAAAATACTTTGCACTTCGGTGGTTCAAAGCACGTACCATACTCACGAATAGGCTATTAAATTAATTGGTCACTATTGGTATATAGGCTTCTTTACGAAAGCCCCGATATCCCCGGTAATTGAAGGCTGAAGCTTATGATAGATAGTGGCTACCAGTGGAATTCAGAGCACACGTTACGTTTTCTTTGAGACTTATCAGCTGGATGTGCCTCCCTTCCAGCGATTGATATAGTTCTCGCTGATATTCGAACCCAGCACCGATCAATTCAAACACCAGAGCGCCCATCCATTAGAATACTGGGTCATGATAGTTACTCCTTAATTCCACTGCTAACCACTATCCATCATTTCTATCAAGCTGAAATCGCCAGAAATACGGTATCAAACTATCCGTCACTTAAAGAGTAAGTATCGTAGCTCAGCGCTGTAGTGGATAACTGTATGTTTCGAAGCGATACGTGCTGTATCCGAGTTCCAGTGAGAAGACTATTACTCAGTGAGGAATTAATAGTTAGTTGCTTATTGCTCTCGTTCTCTCCGGTCACGGATACAACAGCTACCTCTGTCTGATCTCTTAAAAGACTTCTGTGTGCGTAATTGCATTTCTCAGTTGATGATAGCTGAGTATATCATTGTTATGGTAGAGTAATTCCTAGAAACGAAAAGCAGTTTTTATTTAATTTAAAGCAAATAAATTGCATAACGGTAACTGGTTAACTCCTTATTGACTTCCTGAATACTTTTAAAGTAGACATTTACATGTACGGATGAAACGCGTGCTGAATTCTACTGCTAGCCACTATCTATCATTATAAGTCAAGGCATACTATTGAACAACATGAGTATTTAAAACTACGCCCACTGATCTATAGATTTCACTGGATAGGTCAAAGTGATTTCAACATCAGATATCTGTTTCACTCGTTCGGGATCAAACCGGTCAGCTGTGTACTAGGACAGGTTCAGTTCACAGAACCGAATTGTTCAGACCAATGGAATCTGGCTAGCCAGCTAAGATGGGAACCCTACTATGAAAACACAGTTGGACAACTGCTCAGCTACGAGGAATTTCAATCTGAAGCTTGCAGTTTATGAATCCTTTGCGTATTGTTAATCTTATTTACACTTTCAAAACTACCAATTTTGTTATTTTTTTGTTATATGAATTCTTTTTTGTGTGATTCGTTGAAGATGCTTTTTTCTATTAACTTCATCAGTAGTGAGAACTTTTGTTCAACTAAAAGAATCTTAACTGTTAGAAAGCTCTTCATCAAACAATAAGATCTAATGAAGAAATCTTCGTATGCTTTCTTTTGAAAGCCTCAACATTCAAAACAACAGCCAAACTGTTTGTCATCATGTATTGTGTGAATAATGTGAGCATGAAATCTATGCCTGTAAATTTTCCATGTTAGTCTATACCAGAGTGATACCATCTTTGGACGATCTTTTCACCACTTTAGTATTTCTGGTCTACAATGACATAGCCTTATTGATTATTGGAAAGAGTCGACATCGTTTTATCTAAAAGGAGATCATAGTAGGACTGAGAAACTTTTTCATCTCACTTACTGTTGACTGTACATTTTCTAAGTATTTGTCTCAGTTCTATACACCAGTAGTCTGGTCAAATAACGGACGAAATCCAAGCGATTTGCGCATTGTACTTTTTAAAGGTTAACTACCCCGTGTATATCTCTGGTGAATTTAATTTCCACACAGTGAATTGACTCTAAGGCGTGTATACCGATTCTTTTTGGTTGATGAGTACTGACGTTCGACATTAGTAGCTTCTCTTCACTTAAGTCTGTTCGTATCATTTTCTGCTCCGATATCGCAAATGATGATTAAGTTTGATGCAAGAAAAGGTCTATGTCATTACGATGAAATTGTAAAGCATATATGGATTGATTTCCAGAAAAACTATTTTAGGTTGGCATTCATCATGAACTGATATCTGTTGAAGAAACATTAGAAATCTGGGAACACTGGACATCTATTTCGTCAGAGTGTGGGGGACCTTGTGAGTGCTCATCCGTACCCTCGGCTTGCCAGGGATTGAAACTAGGACCTTCAGGTTCTGTGACCAGCACGTTATTAAGCCACTGGGTCGGAGCCGATTGGTCCATATTTCGTACTTCTGTCACTTCACGATATAGCGTGACTTCTCACTGGGACTTCGGGAATCACCTCTCGAACATGAGGACTCAATGACAGCATTGAATGGAGGTTATGCTGAATTGTGAACTGACAGAAGTAGGAAATATGGACCACTGTATTCCAACTCAATGCATCAATGACAACGTGCTGGCCATGGAACTAGAAGTACCTGGGTTCTATCTTTTTTATGACTATCCACTGTATTATCTTGCTTGCTGACTAGCCAGTTTCTGAAGGGCTCTTCACTCAACTATCTTACAATTGGTAATTGCTACGTAATGGGTAAGCAGATAGACTTATCGATTCTTAAACTATCAACAGTTTTTAGATATACATATCCGTTTTTCTTTCTTTTTGAAGAAACACTCCAGCAAAGATGAATTCATTTCCCTGGGACTAAAGCAAACGGTCAATGTTATTGTTTACTGTGGGGTAAATTTACTTATATTATACATATGGAACGTATTGTCATTGACCATATTCACCGTATTCTTTTCTTTGCTTTTATGTCTGTCTAGCTATCTATTGGAAATTCCGCCATGGATGGTATACTTTCAGGTGAATATTTTTACCTTTGGTATATTCATTTACCTCTTTGTCCCATATTTTGATGTATGAATACGTAGTTTACACACCTATAATGCTATTTATGACACTACTACTAACATCTGCCAAAGTGCATTGCGATGACGAATCAACTAGTTTGGTGGCCATATTGCAAAATGATCGATAGAGTTCGATCAGCACTTAGGACTGCACAGCATGAAGTCGGTTACCCTCCAGTGACGAATCAGTGGTTCATTTGCGCCATCTGTGTCGCCAGCACGATATCCGACTACCTATCAAAGGACGAGTGTAGTGTGCTGCAGTCCGTTCTATCCTGTTATACCGCCGTTAGACATTACCATTAAAAGTAGAAGATATGAAGGGTTTTGATCATAGGAGTCTTCGTAAAATTGCTCGCGTTTGGGGGGATCACCGTGTGAGCAATGTAGAGGTCAGAAGTGAACTAGGCAAAACAGGGAAATCGATCAGTGAGATTGTAAACCTTATTCGACTGCGATGGCTTGGACATACACTGCGAATGCGGAACCACCGTCTATCTCGTCATGTGATGCTGATGAGGGAGCTTATATTAGGTTTGAAGGTGGTTGAGGGTGGCCAGAATAAGAAATTGGACCAGTCTATGAAGTTCAGGATTGTTAGCCTGAGTCATGTGGGACGATTTAGTCTGTCTGGTTGGCGTTGTTGAGATGAAAGAATCAGTGGCTGAGGATTCTTGGCGACATGCCTGAAAATCTGTCACTACTTGACATATTCTAAAGCTTGAATATTTGCACTAACCCTTATCTTCACATCGTTTATTGTCTCACACAGCTTTTTCTACTTTGGTATCAGTCTTTTCCTATTCACCTGTTTTTGTATGAAGTGTGACAACTTGAGCGGATTCATGCGTGGGCGTGGTTCTGCGTTGATTTAGTCAGTTATCCGATGATCTGGAGGTTACTGCTTCGAATCCTATTGCTGCCCAAGTTTTGATTTTACTTTCAACCATCACTTCCAACCACCCCGTATTAATAATACCGTGACTCAACAAGTAGTGAAGCTTTATCTTGTTGGAGAAACGAAGCCATCGATCCATAACTTCTTCCTTTTCGATAAATGTCATCGTCTGAAGTTAATGGCATTTAGTTGTATCCAGATATGGTCAGTGATGAATGCAATCACATCAAAATGGTCTTACAGAAGACTTTGGAATTTCAGACGTTAATTCTTGTCTCCAATCTCTAGTTGCCTCAGTGTTCTGGCATTAGAATGCAGCTACTCAACCGCCCCAATTAAAGCACAAAAGTGACGTAAATAATGATACCGATAAATATCACTCTCTAGCATTTAACTCTATTAGTCTAATCTAGAGACTTGTGTGGCATCGCACTAGATACACTTCACCAACAATTCTAAATATTTTTTTCATCTGCTGGTATATTTTTCAATCTGACACATTTTAGTTCTTGTAAAAGTAGAGAAAATTTGTAGCTCAGGATTAAGATGATCGCTATTTGGTTTTCTTTGAACTTTGTTCTTGTACGTTTTGTCACAAGGCTAGGCAACTTCGAAAACAAACCTCAAAGCTCTGAAAACACCAAGCGACTGACATTTCAGCTCCTCCTGCAATACACTTAATAGTATCAAAATAACATCTTCCTGTTAGGCTTGAGATTAGGTCTACACTTGCCACTAAATATACCACTACTGTTGTCGATGTGCTTTTGTTGGTCACAAGGACAAATAGCTCCCCGACAATGTCCTCGTGGATAAAATTCCACTCCAAATACCAATATCCAGACCATGTATTTCATGTCTTTCATTGTCAAGTTAGATTCATTGCAAAGTAAATATATGAGGTTTTACAAGTCATAACAGACCTCAATTTTCGCTAAAATTTTGTTTCCGTCATTCAATACTAGTCAGTATTCTAGTCGGTCAATATTTAGTCACTAACAGGTGGTAGTTTTTCATGTTTACCCAGTTTTGCATTGTTGCAGCGGATGGTGCTGTTTAGTTACTAATTAATTACAAATGGTTTGCTGAGAAATGTCATCAATTTCCACTTATTTTTAGTTCAAGTACTTGGTACTATTTCCTTGATTGTCTACAAGCCATACAGTCTTTTATCAGTTGGTTACTCTGTTTGGTTATCTTAAGGTGTAAACAATCTCGTGTTTCTGGTATGATTTCATTTTTTTGTCGTAGTTATGTTAACCAGTGGAAAATTATTACTGGTGGTAAGTAACTATGTCACTTGTCTCTGAGTATTTTAGGTTATTCCGATTCACTCAGGTAATTTTAATAGAAATTAAGCGTTTAATATTATCTTTTAGTATTGTAGTACGGTGTATGTATTTCCTGTCATATAGTTGACATATTTAACGGATACTGTCGATCACGTTCTGCTTCCTTCTACACTCATCAAAACTTGAGAATCCAAATAATCTGAATTTGTTTTCTGCTTATGGTTTGTGATTTTGTACATGTGACAATGTTTGTTTCTTAATGCCATACATTTATGTATTTCTGTCCTTATTTTCTCAAGATGCACAACCTCAACTCCGTGTAAATGAAAATTACCATCAATTCTTCAAGCCTGTAGACATTGTTACTGATGAGGTGAGTATCAACCAGGTTGCTAGATTGTACTATGTTAAGAGATGACTTTTTAAACTCAATTTTCTGCAGATTTTACAGTATTTTCACTGGTATGTTATGCGCTATCACCATCAAAGACTCATCCAGTAAATCCCGCTATTATGTTTGATCATCGAAACCTCTGCGGAAACAACACCCTAATCCTAATATTTGCACCCTTCATTTCAAGTGTTCAACTTTCTGTCTTGATACTTTTTCCATTCACCTGTTCTCTCGTATAGAATTGTAAATTCATCATTATTTCCATTGTCTGTTCACCTTTTAAACTCACTTACGCTTACCGATTGTTGGTAATGTTTTCTTCTCGAAAATTTTCTCTCGACTTTAAATAGATATTTGGGCGTTAGTTTGGATTTTGTAGAACGTCAGAAAAGGAATGAGTTCATTCCTCTTTGTTTTTTTCTTTTATCATTTTAAAAAATGAAAATATTCTTTATCATCCTATATGACTGTGTCGTAGATCAGTGCAATATATTTACCGTAATGATGTCAATCATTAGACTGATATAACTATTAACAATGCCTATGTATGTAATAAAAACAGCTTGATTGACACAAAAACTATTTAGAGGAGGCTATTTCGATGTGCTTTTGAACTACTGAATGCAAATTTTCGGTTGGTGATTTTTGTGATGCTGATCTCTGCCAATCCACAAAACTAAACAATTAGTGAGGAATAATAAGAAAAAAGGCGGAGAGGTACACACTCATGTGAAAATCTGTTTTTAATTTATTACTCAATATTATCGTTATATTCTCTTGTGAAAGTAAATTTCATTGGTTTAGTCTTATCTCTTAAACCTCCGCTATTATCTGCAGATTTCGTAAGGAATCATTTCAGCATACCAATATTGATCACCATAATATTTTACTGTTTCTTTATATGCCTTCCTTTATCTTGGATAAGAAATTTCAGAGAAATCGATGAATAGCTTTCATTTAATCTGTTTTACAAGAAAGATTCATGTCGTATTAATGTTTTGAGAGGATGTAGTCAAATTTGTGATAATAGAAAAAATTATCTTTTCATATTATCACCTTTTAAGGTGTTCAGTAGTGGCAAAAGATGACATAGAAAACACCCAAAGTTTGATCAACAACGTTTTCAATGACATCAAATTCACAATGGAGAAAGAGTCAAGCAACCAACTACCATTTCTCGATGTTCTGGTCAATAGAAGCTGGAAACCCAAGTGTACAGGAAGCCAACACACACTGACCAAGTCCTCAACTAGAGTAGCAGCAACCCACAAAATCAGTTGCGTGCAGACTCTATTCAGTAGAGCGAGAACACACTGCAGTACAACAACTTCACGGAGAAACGAAGAAAATCACTTGATGTCCAACATAAAGAAGAACGGCTACCCACGAAACTTTAGCAGAAGATGCCTATCCCGTACATCATCAACTACAAAGTCATCGACAGAAATCAACAAACGCATCGTCCTACCATGCATAAAGAATATATCAGAAATCACGACAAGATTATTGAGATCACTTGGAATTGGTGTGGCTCATAAACCAACGAATTCCCTACAAAGACTATTATGCAGACCAAAGGGATGCAACAACCAAAGAAGACAAACCGAATATCATTTACAAAATCAACTGCAATAACTGTAGTCAACACCACATTGGACAAAGTGGTCGCCCTCTTCGCCTTCGTCTACATGAACACCAATTGGTTAATAAGCGTCACGGCATTTCATCACTCACTTCAATGCATGTGGATAACAACTATGGACATGAATTCAATTTCGACAATGTAGAAATTTTGGACAGGGGAAACACAAAAAATATCAGAGAATTCCTAGAAGCTTGGCATTCAGGTCAGTCAACAATCAACAGATATATAGACATGGGCCCAATCTATCAACCAATAAGAAAGATGATAAACGACAGAAACGTCAGAGGTGAAGCAGAGGGATAGTCAACAGGCAAGTCAATACAGTCAATGACACAACAATCGAAGGAAACAACCAATCATGGACCGCTTCATCAAGGCAAGCTACTAAATCACTCACGGAGAGATATTGTCAGCTCACTTCACACTGAAGTTAGTGCTGATGATGTCGTCTAGCAAGACGATGAAAGCTTCACGATTAAACACCCCAGCTCAGAGAACACAATGGAACCGAGACCATGCACATGTGCTACAAATATTCTCCTGTGTTTCAATATCCTTTTTATTCTATACTTACGTTTTTAATTATATGAATTGGGTTATTTCGCTCTTCCTTTCTTGCGTATAGGTCATATTTCATATGGCTCGCTATTGTTTTGATGGGCTCCTGACTCTTTAAATGTACTGATTGTTCCTTGTCTTTGAAGGTTACCGCAAACTCTATAAATAGGGTCAGTTTTCTCTCATAAGCGTTTCAGTCCGAGGTACTATAAACTCATCAGGTTTCCAGTTTTTTGATTTCTCTTCTCGAATCACTCGGGTTGCATCGTCTCAACCCTCGACTACGTATCGTCAAGTATTTCCTTTCATTCTCACAACACAGCATCATAACACTATATTACTGTTATAAGTATTCTAATTCGAAATGCGCTACAGATCAACTATGTTGTTTTATTTTTTCTGTGAATGTTTTCTTTGTTGGAACATAAGATTATTTTGAAAGTCGTTTGATATCTTTAATTACATTTTCGCAGTGTTATTGTAATGAATTTTTCGAGTCATTTCTTATCAACTCAAACACTTAACTCTTAAGCTGAGTCCGAGCTTCCTACTCTTGTCTACTTTGCCTAGGCAATCGGTTGATATCGCAAGCTGTTTCTCAATAAGCGCTCATGCATCTATCGCTTCAAACGTCATGGCGGTCTCCACTAGATTCGCTGATTTATCATAACTATCATGATAACTACGATTTTTCACCTTGGTGTCGGCTACCGGCGCCCCCATTATTAATCCCTAGTTTACCTTTTCTGAACTTAATTCAGTCGGCTCTGTTAGTCAACATGTTCATGATATAGTTACTGAATCACTGCCAAAGATTAACTGCTACGTGGTGTTAAAAGTAACAATTCTAATTTTTTAAATACTGAGAAAATAGGTCAATGGCTGTATAAAAGTTTGTTACTTGGAAAACTTCCGCTGTCCACTAGTCATCAACTAAAGTTGTCATAAAAGGTGCCCTTTTTGAAAACACCTCAATTCATACTATAATTTCTAGACTTTCAACATAGACTACCTACCTCACCAGTTAGAAAAGAATTCTGTCGCAAGAAATCATGTTATTGTCAAAAATAATAAGCATTGCTAACGGTGGGTGGACTCACGATATAACATTCATCATGGACTGACATCAGTTGGAGAACCAATGAAAACCTAGGAGCACTGAACAGCTGTCTCGTCCTAGTACGGGACTCCTTAGCAGTACGTACCCACCACCCGGTTATGGATCGAACTCAGGATCTTCACGTTTCACGGCGAACACGTTGACCATTCAGCGACTGGGTCTGACTTCAATGCCCCATAGTTTCCTACTGCTTTCAGTTCACGATGTAGGTCAACTATCACCCAAAGTCTTCTATTGACATTCGCTTCACTCCTGACTGGTTGACCCCACAGGAATCTCAAACTAAGACGAAACATCTGTTCAGTGCTCCCTGGTTTTCAGTGGTTCTCCAACTGATGTCGGTCCGTGATGAATTCTACTTTAAACATAAAATCTCCATTAGCCTCAAAAGAAATTAGAAATATACTCACTTAAATTAAATGGGCATATTTCTAATGATTCAACAACCATCATTGTACTTCTTTTGATTTCCTTTCACTTTCCTATAATCGAACAGTGGGCTTGATCGAGGAGTACCTCAGAATATTTTATTTATTCAGTCTTGTAATATCGAACAACATTGCAATCGAAAAATATTGTTGATTCGGCTCGTTATCACAAACATTTATCATCAACTAACAGCGCATAATTTCAGCAGAGAAGTTATTCCGCACTTTTTTAACCGATGATCGTGTTATACTTGGACGCAAGAAAAAAATGCTGCTCGTGCACAAGCTTTGTTCATCGAATATTTATTCAAAGACTGTAAGAATACTAAGCCAGTCTATCACTCACGGGGTGCTTTCGATTAAAAAGTGAGTGGATTTAAATCAGCAAACAGTTGTGGGTTTGTGTCTTAAGCAGTGAACCATACCTATTGAATAAGAGCTTATCATACTAATTGGCTGCTTAAACCCTGGAAGTTGAAATTTTCTCTCCTTCTTGACTATATTCGACTGTCTGAATCGAAAAGGTACAGTTCATCAGTTAGAAGTTTGGGTTATGATTCAGGAAGGGAAAAGTTGCTGTATATAGCCTATTCGTGAGTATGGTACGTGCTTTGAACCACCGAAGTGCAAAGTATTTTTGCAAGATTGGCAGGACCCTATGTCTGCGCTCACCCCGTGTGGTAAGTCATTGGAAGTAGTCGAAAACTTCGTATATCTGAGTAGTCATGTGAGTGATGAAAGTTCTAACCACACATCGAAAGCCAGAGTGGCATACGTAAATCTAGGCCACCTTTGGTGCGGTTGCAACCTTAGTCTGATGGCGCAGGGCCGAGTTTACATCGCTTCGGTGCGAGCAGTTATATTCTACACCTGTGAAACCTGGCCTTTTCGAGTTAAGGATGTACGACGACTCTGTATGTTTGGTCATCGTTGTCTTCGTAGGATTGCTCTTATCCGGAAGCAACGCCGTGTAAGTAATTCTGAAGTACGATACCATGTATTTGGGCATGATGGAGATCATCATTCAATAAGTGCAGTCATCTCGAAGTACCGCCTTATGTTGCTTCAACGTATGTCGCGTTATTCCAACGGCTTCCATACTGTTCATTCTTTGCTAACCCTGAGACTGAACGGAAGAAACGGAGGGGTGATCAGTGTATGATGTGGTGCCATTGGATGAAAGATAGTTGTATCGGGTTCGTATCTGTTGGTGCATCACGACTCCCTGGGTAGGGTCCGAGAGATCTCGCAACTCAGTGGCGTCAGACATTCTCAAGTGACTCAGTTCAAATTAGAGGTTAGAGGACATGCTCACACCACTATTACAGAAGGTCTAGAAGGAAGGGAAGGTACCTGCAGATTGGAAGAAGGGCGACCTTGTCAAACTCCCGAAGAGGAGCTACCTAAGTCTTTGCAAGAACTGACGCGGGATCATTCTCTACTCCCGTCCACACTAAGCAAAGTATCAAGCCGCATCATCCTGGAGAGACTGAAGGGTGCGCTGGATTCAAAACTACGACCGGAACAGGCTGGCTGCCTTCAGGAAGTACAAATCATGTGCGGACCAAATATAATGCTAATAATAATTTTGTGAACCCATTATACCTTCTGCTGCTGAAAACTGATGAATGTTTTGTTTTGTGTGTATCTTACTTGGCTGCCCTTCTAATTATTCCATTTATATTGTCTGTTTCTTTTTATCTACTTCCTTTTGCTTTTTCGTTAAAATAGTGTGATATTATTTTGTGCGGCTCACTTCTTGATAACCTTGTTGTACCATGTTTGTGTTTTATTAATGATGATAGTAATAATAGAGCCTAATGGCTTACTATTTGCTCTCTCTCCATCTCTCATTTCTTACAATTGTCAGTTTTTGCACAAGTGATACGAAGAAAATGGTTGGTATCGAAACATTTTTTGATACCGTGTTTAATTTTAAGCTTTTGATTAGCCACATCGTTTCACATAGCAAAAATTTTCTGTCTGTCAACGTGGTATATCTCCTGTACATATACACCAGATTATTGGTATATCACAACTTTTGTTCAGCTATGCAGTTCAGCCTCACAAGGGGCGCGGTAAATATTTTGGAGTGTTCATAACGTTTGGTTTCATATCCTCTACGAACGAAATGATTCTAAGCTGATAATTCAAATCCTTAACCTTACAAATTCAGTCAGTGACTTCTGCTCACAGACGAGATTGTTTTTTTCGAATCGACATAGCCTGATACCATTTCATTCTATATTGACAACAACTGTACAGATAGCTACTAACTTGCCGATGAATCCTCAGCAAAACGAGATCCACAAGCCTCATTGGAGCTAGGCAGCTCATTGTTATATATTTTAGAAAATCATAGATATAGCAATCGAAAGGTACGTTGAACGATTAAGAGTATCTGTAGTCATCTCTGGTAATGAGATCCAAGCGAACTATAAAAACGGTCCTGGTTGATCGCAATTGTTATTTTTCTGGATTACTGTTCTAACTCTTGGTAGGCGCACCTAAGCAAATAATTTTATGACTAAGAGCTACAGGCAATTAATTCACTTTCAAAGTGAACCATTGTTAATCAAAGGCTTTACGGAGTGACAGTAGTAATCGTCACCAACTGCCATCAGTTGAAAAACTCAAATCTCTAGGTGGCCGTTTTGTCCTAGTATGGGACTTCTCAATAGTACGCTCCTACGACCTCGCCAGAGGCCGAACCCAGGATCTTCAGATCTCTCAGCGAGCGCTTTAGTGATTCAGCCGCTGGTTTTCAGTCTAATGATCCAGTACTAAGACGAAACAGGTGTTCAGTGCTCTCAAGTTTTCAATGGTTCTTCAGTTGATGGTTGTCTATGGTGGGTCCTGAGTCAATAGATCCCCACAAACCTCCGGCCTGATTTACACAGTTTTCCACTTGTTGGTCATCAAAGTTTTAAATAAAGTCTAAACACCATATTGGAATTCTATGTCTCCTTTCATCACTGAACTGTATCCACAAATGTGTGTACCACTCAACGAAATCTAATGTTACTGTCTTTTCATGAAGTAATACATTCTTAGGTGATGAACGACGATAGAATCCAACAAACCCGTACTTTCGAAACAGTCTATTATACTTTCATAATCCACTCAACCAATTTATTGAGACCACACTGAAGAATAAGGTTATTCGGTGAGTAGAATTTTTTTCAGTGGCTTTCAAAACCTCATCCCAAATAAGTTTTTAGCTAGTTGCTCTGGCATTTTAAACAGCGATATATAAGAATGATAACTGTTAATCTTGCAGTCGAACTCCCGTGTTTCATAATCTGTTCCATATGAAAATGATTCTACTAGTCATAATCAAGTGTTCTCTTCGCCTAACTAAATTACTTTCCATGTAACCTAAGTATTATATTTTATCAAACTGTAACTTATGAACTAGATTTTAACGGTTGATGAGCATGGAAAATATAGGCTGTTGATTACAACTGTTTGTGCCTTAGCCTAATTATTGTTTGAAACCTAAGCTGCCTGATAACCAACATACTGATAATTTATAAAACTCAGGGTCTAACAATATCGTAGATCTTACTTATGGGAAATACACGGCACCAGGATAATAGGATTTGTAACTTTTAAATCAACTTATAGGTTAAACACATCTATGGTAATGATGTTTATTTTGAGTTATATTGATATACATGTTTTCCGTATCACAGTTTTGTGATCATATTCCATTTAGCATTCAGTATATGTATCATCACTAATATGCTTATGTTTTTGTCACTTTTTATTATTCAGATATCGCTTGTTTGTTCTCAAGTTCCTGGATGTACTTTATCTGAAGCTCATTGGGCTTTATTACATGTCATGAATCCATTTTCCCCTGTTATACCCCAATTAATCGTGCCTCCAATTCCCTGTACTGCACCTGTGGTAACTTGGAGAACCAGATTTGATCGAACTAGTGCTTGGCGTGTAAACTTGGCTGTTCGTCTTTTGTCTGTTTGTCGTCTTTACCAGTTAAGTTTGATAAACTGGGACTCATGTTGTGAAATAATTAGCGCATTCAATTGGCAACTTGAACCTGCAGCTGATTGGATTCTTGATCATATGACACCTAGTTGTTTTATTTAATTTTTCACTGTTTTTCTCAACTTTTTGTGTTAAGCACACACTTTGAATTGTTGAAATTGACTTTTGTTTTTTATGATCATTAGATTTCTCTCATCTTCATTCGAAAAAATGTCTTTTTCATCCAAATTTACTCCAATTGGACACAAATTGAGTTTTTGGATGGTAAGACAAATATGTCATTCACACCTAATGATTTCCTTTTCTTTTTTAAACTACTCATTTGCATAATAAGTAGTTCATTTCCTTATGTTTTGTTCATGATGCATTTCATCATACGATGTCTTAATTTTTCGCTCTTCACGCTTATTTTCGTTCTGTAAGGTTGTCATTTGCTAGGGTTGACTAATCCATCTTTAAATGACAAAGAAATAGTTCAGGGAAACTTCTAGATTACACACTGCATCGTAGTGTAAGTTTCATTGTTTACCCAAGTTAAGTTTCCTTTGGTGCCTCGTTTTATAGAGTAAACAATCCATGTGGTCACTTTCTTTTATAGATGATTATTGTGTCACTTGTAAGTACAACTGCTTTGCTAATATGGTTTCTTCTTAGCTTACGAGGGCTAAAATCATACATAAAGCAGCCATGTTTTTTTTCATTGTCACATGTAAAGTTTCTTGCTATTGATATTATCTAGTCCCTATTTAGTCTGAGTTATACTCAAATTTAAATGTATCGATTCCATTTGATCGATTGATTGAAAGCACAGTGTATTCGTTTGATTCGAATGCTTTTGTTTAACGGTCTTGCAACTGCCACTGATCACTTATTTGTGTCTTTTTGTAATAAGCATTTGGCTAAATTTAAGAAAAGATGCTTGTCGTCTCATTGTGTTTATTCTTTTCGTTTGTTTTTTTGCGGGTTCTCGTTCATATGTTCACATGAAAAAAACTTTAAGGTATTTTTTCTCCATAGATTGAATTTTCTTTTATAGCGCTACGTATTCAGTCTTTTTGGTAATATTCAACTCCACATTATGTGGTCGTCGAACAGGTTTATCGGTTGATTGAATTGTGTAGCAGAAAGTTAAAAGAGGGAAGTCGATTTCCGAATAACTTTTGGCCTTGGTTTTTATTCCGTTTGGTATTATCAAAAGAAGTCATTGGGTAAAATTTTCAACCCTAGCGTAGCTAAGCAGTTCAATCAGAGTTACAGTTACCCGACTATTTGAGCCGAATAGCATCCAGTTTGAAATAAAAGTGTTAACAACTTATTTTTATTGATTTGAAGAATATATAACATTCCTCTACGAAGTGACAGGACTTATAATAGACAATTAGTATTATCACGGTGAAGTATGGTGTATTTCTCGTCACTGTTATGAACTGCAAAGTTTGTGCTCTTTGTCTAATTTAAGTTGCTTCCAGTGCTCCAGAAACGAGTTCACTTGATATTATTATTATTATTATTATTATTATTATTATTATTATTATTATTATTATTATTATTAGTCCCTTGGGTTCCTAATGGAACACAGGGCTTCAGTAGCATGTCTCCAGTGACCTCTGTTCTCTGAGATCTTTTGAACCTGGTTCCACGACAACCCAGAAGCTCTCATTTCTTCCTCGCACGATCTCCTCCATGTCACTCTCGGACGTCCAACTCGTCGCTTCCCATGGGGATTCCACTCGAGTGCTTGGCCTGACGCGTGATGTCCCCAGTCGGCCTTCTCAGTGCATACCCAATCCATCTCCATTTCCTCCTGCATATTTGTTGGGGGGTAGGTTCTTGGCTGGTTCGTTCCCAGAGCTCCTTGTTGCTTATTCACTTGGTATACAGCACTAAATGTTATAATATCAATTTATCACTGTCGATAACCATCTTTTGCTCAATTTGTGCAAAATTCTTTCCCTCTTAAGTTAATCATTTGATGAAGTTGTGAAATTTCAGCTACTGAAACGGTATGGGCATTGTTTGCGCATGTTGAAGTACCACTTTCTTTGACGTTTCATGCTAGCGAAAGTAGGATCGAGTTGGAAAAAGATTAAGAGTTATCAGATCAAGACGTAGAATCAGTCCATGATGTTTTCGCCTGTTGGTTGAAGTCATACAGTCTGTATAATCGCAGTCCATTAAACAATAGGAATGAATATTAATGATGGATAATGGCTAGCATCAGAATCTAGAACGTGTGGTTCGTCCTATTTGGGACTCATAACACCATATAAACTATACTTGTTGCACAAGAAATGACTATCGTGACTTGGGGCCTAGTGGATGGTGCTGTGGCGTTTCAAGCGGTCGATCCCGGCCTCGAGTCTCAGTGGGAACAACATCGCTCCCTAGGAGGTGGGTACATCTAACTGACGAGTTCCAAATAGGACAAACCGTGCTTTCTGCAACCCACTGCTAGTCACTATACATCAATAAATTCAAAATTAAAAATACAGAGTATCGAGGCACCCGCGCAGGAGCCCATATACCTATGGAGAACGACCAATTAGATCCAATCAACGACGGGATAATACAAGCAATACAATCAGTGACTGCAGATCTTTGGTGATAAGGCTGAAAATCTTTCATAAGCATCAAAGTGTACTTTCTTTCTCACCTCCGAAGTCTTGAATATTTTAATCAACCTTCAACAACACCGCTGACTGGGGGGTAAGTACATCCAGTAGATAAGTCCCAAATGGGACGAAACGCATATCCTGCATTTCACTGCTAGCCACTATCCATCATTAATGATCTGATTATAATTGACAAGATGTTCAGTCGTTTCTATGAACTTTCAGTTCAGGTACTTAGTGGTCGGCAAATTAGGTTTGAAATAGTTCAGTTTTGTTGACTCTTGTTAGTTACTGACCCATGCTGTTCTTAAGATATCCACTTGTCTTGCCGAAGCTAATATTGGGATCACTTTCTTCTGCTGAAAAGAGTTAAACTTCCGGGTCAACTGTATTTTTTTTACCGATGATTGTTTTTAAACGGCTAAGGTAATCATATAGTAATGATGGATAAGTGGTTTGCTGTGGAATCCTAGATGCGCCTTTCGCCCCATTTTGGGACTCATCACCTAGATTTGCCTGCCTTTCGGTGAGTGATGTTGTTCCCACCGGGATTCGAACACGGGACCGGTCGCTTCAAATGCGAGAGCGTTATCCACTAGACCACCGAGCCAAGATACCGATAACACAAAAGTTATAACCGTCGCACAAGGGGCTATCGTGGTTCGGTGGTATAGTGGATAACGCCCTGGCGTTTGAAGCGATCGGTCCCGGGTCTGAATCCCAGTGGGGACAACATCACTCACTGGAAGGCAGGTAAATCCAGCTGACGAGTCCTGAATTGAACGGAATGCGAATCCTGGGTTCAACTGCTAGCCACTATGCATCATTACTGTATAATCAAAAACACAGACAATATTGAGGCATCCGCGCAGGAGCCCAAGTGTGAATAGGGACCAATCAGTTCGGTCCAATCAACGACGGTATAATACAAGCAATAACACTTAAGCCAAGGTAATCGTCTTCTGAAGACTTATTATCCCACTTTTTATAAAGAATAGTTTCACATTGTTTTCGTGTGTAAATAAATATTTTCTACGACAAATGTATTCTCAGCAATGGTATCACCGGTTCTTTTTAAGGCTAAGTATAAAAGGAATTTAAAGGGAGCTTTCAAGACCTAACAGTCAATGTTAGAATGAGAATGATGGTATAACTGATCACATATCACTTTATTTGAAGATTATCGTTTCCATCAACTAACGTTATTCGACTGGTGTCCTTAGCTGATTAATTCACTCGTTTGAATAGCTTTCGTCAAATCCCTATGTAGAAGAGATGCCCATCCAGATTTGTTGAGAAGACCTTGAAATTTAAGCAGCATGGAGCAGATCCATGCAGTCCTAAAGAAGACCATATGTATGGGTGTTGATAATGTAGTCGGGATTATGAGGTACCGGTTGTCTAGGTCACAGATCATCTCCAGTCGGTAAATGATTTCTGAGCATGCTGAGGACAAGCTACCGCTTCGGGGCACCTCAGTGTGTATTCGCAATTTCACTTCCTCCTGTGAACAAATGATCTTGTTCAGTAAACCCTCACCCATACGGTCTTCCATAAGTATACAGAGGGAATGTTCCACTACGTCTAATTTGGAATACGGGAATTTTTCATAAATTGTAGACCACGATATCGTTTTATTGTCGTCATCGAACCGAAATCGTTGGATATTTTCATCTGTGTGCATGAAACTGACATTCAATACAGCAATATGCGTAGGAGAGGAAGAATGTAAATCAATGTTAATTTTCGGGTTGTTTTTTCACCGTTGTACTTTACAAGAACAATCATCCTACAGGCCATAAGAAATGTATAAAAGTGTTTTCGCTTGCTGAGACTCACTACGAATAGCGAAAGAAAAGTGTCCTGTGTTTAAGATCAACTTTATCAAAGAACACCTTTCAGCAGAACACAGAAGAGTGTGATTGCCTCAAATCAACAAGCGCGTTGCGCCACTATACATGAATGTCAAATGTTTGCTTCTTACACTCGCGAATGAAAGCGTGCCCAAATCAACAAAATTACTAAAGAGCGTATTGTTTAGTCCAAACGAAGACAAGACAAATGTGGTTTACTAAATCAGCTGAAAAGATTGTCCACAAATTACTGTGGCCGGTTGAATCGTCCGGTTATCCAAAAACCTCACGAACACCAACTATTAGTAAAGCAACAAGATACAACCACCTTGCTTTCAATCCATGCGGGCAATCATGAATTTAACTAGAAGGATGTGGAAATCCTACAAAGACCAGGTTCAAAAGCTGCAACAGAATTTCTAGAAGCCTTACTTTCCAGTGACAAGTCAATCAACTGACACGTGGATGTGAACGCAGTCTACAATCTACTTAGGAATAGAAGAATCATCCGTCAAATAAGTACGAATCGATCGGTAATGGAGTACAGTGTGACAGTAGCAAATAGAATAGTTTAGCAAAAACTTCCTCCAAATGTGATCGAGCGAAATGTTAAGATCAAGGAGGTCAGGGTGTCTAA